ATAGACCCGCCCGGGGTCAGGCGCAGAGCCGCCAGGGTCAGTCTGCCAGGCCGGGCCTCGTCTGTGTGTCCGGAGTCTGCGGGCCAGTCAGTCCCGCTCGAGTTCAACCCTGTGGCTCTCCTGCAGGTGGACGAGAGCCAGACTGGAGAGCCGGGGTGGCTTGGAGGAGAGCTGAAAGGCAAGACGGGCTGGTTTCCTGCCAACTACGCCGAGAAGATCCCAGAAAACGAGGTTCCTGCCCCCGTCAAACCAGTGACGGACCTGACCACCCCCGCACCCAAGCTGGAGGTGCGGGAGACGCCGGCTCCTCCCGCGGTGACTGCGGCCGAGCCCTCCGCCGCCCCCAACAACTGGGCGGACTTCAGCTCCACGTGAGTGCGGCCGTGTCATGGCTGTGACCTTTGCGATACCTGCTTAGTGACCTCTCTTCTTAGGGGCTGTCATAGTCGGGGGTGCAGCCGTGACCGGTCCCAGCCGTGTGGGTCCCTCTCCCGGAATGGGCTAGTGCACGCTCGCGGGGTAGAGGTGGGCGTCTCGCTCCCCAGTCTCTGTCCGGCCCTTTCATTCCCATGGAGGAAACGGAGAGGTAGCTTCTTCACAGCCTCCCTGGCATCCATGCAGCCAGCAAACCTCCACCATTTCCTGCACGTCCACAGCACGTTTCAGCTGGACAGACAGACAGGGACTCAGTCCTCGGCTCTGAGTGAGACAGGAAGCTGCTCCTGTGTCACTCTCCTCTCCCCAGTCGTGTGCGGATGTGCAGTGAGGAGCGGTGTGCCGTGACCATGACGGGCCCTTGGTCTTCAGGAAATGGCATTAAGACGGGTCAGCAGAGGCTGGGAAGGACAGCCGAACCACTGCCCACCCTTGGTTAGAGGCACGCATGCGCGAGATGTGCAGGTGTCTGACCCCCCACCCCACCCCGTCCAGGCACAAGCGACACGAATAAGAAGCGCTTCCAGCTTTTCTCACGTCCCACGGTCCTTCAGGAGAAGCAGAGGAGCTCAGCTGGGGGGAGACACTAGACAGCTCAGCTGGAGGAGGGGCTGAGGTGGCCGCCCCACCCCCACCCCCCAGCCATCTGGACTGAGAAGCGCTGACTTTGAGCCCAGGCACAGGCTATACCAGCCGTGGGCAAACTATGGCCCGCGGACTGGATCTGGCCCGTTTGAAATGAATAAAACTATTGAAAAAAAAGACCGTACCCTTTTATGTAATGATGTTTACTTTGAATTTATATTAGTTCACACAAACACTCCGTCCATGCTTTTGTTCCGGCCCTCCGGTCCAGTTTAATACCCCATTGTGGCCCTCGAATCAAAAAGTTTGCCCACCCCTGCACTATACAGAAGGCAGAGACCGTGCCCAGCAGGGCTGCGTGGCTGTGGCCCCAGCAGCGTGACTTCCTCAGGGAATGTTGCTGCGCAGTCGCTGCTGTCATTTCGGGCCTCTTATTTTCAGCCCCGAGCCGGGACGTGCAGTCCAGCAAAGGCACGATCCTGATTTTCAGCTGCGTTTGTGGCTCACAAAGATGTAAACAGTCGCCTGCATGTGCTGCACTCACACAGAGGGTGACCGATCTGAGTGTCCCCGAGGTCAGGCAGCTGGCGATGGGGGGGCGGCGGGAGAAATGGTGTTGGGAGCACGAGCCACCAGGCAGGCACTCCACGTGTGGTGTGTGACTTCCTCTTCGCCGATGTCGCCGCTGCTGTTACCGATGACAGCGATGGTCAGGGGAGGGTGTTGCTGGTGCTCGTGGTTAGCGTGTCTTCCCACCTGGTATTTCACGTGACCCTCCCACCAGCCAGAGGGCAGAGTGGCCTTCCCATTATCGGGCGAGGAAATCAAGGCTCAGAGAAACCGCTGTCATTTTCCCGAGGCTCATTGCCCGTGGGAGCTGGCCCCGCCCCAGCCCCGCGCTTTTCCTCCTCCCTGTCCTGAGCTGCAGGAGCCTGGGCCTGTGCTGGGCTGTGTTCACTGGGAGCAGCTGGTGGGTGGGAAGGGCCTGCTGCTACGGGGCTGC